GCAACTGGCGAGACCTCATCTTTACAATAAATCAAAAAATGAGCCGGGTGTGGTAGCGTGCGCCTGTAGTTCCAGCTACTTGGAAAGCTGAGGCGGAAGGATCACCTGAGCCCAGCAGGTCGAGGATGCGGTGGTCGGGAGCGTGCCACTTGCCCTCCGGCCTGGGTGACAGAGTGAGACTTCAACTCAAAAAAAACCAAAACAACTAACCAAGCATGGTGGCATGTGCCTGTAATCCCAGCAACTCAGCTACCTGAGGTGGAAGGATCTCTTGAGCCCAGGAGGTCAAGGCTGCAAAGAACCGTGATCATGCCACTGCACTCCAGCTTGAGCACATCGGTGAGACGCTGACTCACAAAAAAAAAAAAAAGAAAGTGAGAGTAGTTGGGAATAGTGATACCAACTTTTCTTTTTCTGACCTTTAGGGTCTCTGTCCAAATATTGAGATGGGAAGAGTCCCAGTGAGTACATTCGCCTGTATGAAGAGCTTGGGTAGGTGCATAACCCACGATAGACATTCACTAAAGAAGCAATGAGTATTGCCAGTCACTCAGTCTGTAGGTCAGTCCAGTCTTTGAAAATGGTTGGAATCCTCTTCCTCTGAGCCAGACTGGAGGAAAGTTTGTACCCCCAATTACTGTTTGAAAGGCAGCTGCCTGGCCCACCTTGTGCCCAGTCAGCAGGTCTATTGCAAATACGTTTACAGCTAGATGGGTCCAGTCAATGCTGTGCCCATGACCCACATACAGTGACAAATCACAAGCCCAAGGAAACCAGGAACTAGCTTAACAGCTCACACTGGGGGAAGAGAGAAGGGAGTTCTCTCCTGTTCTGGGCTTCCATCTCAGCCACAGCAGGTGGGGGTGTGCTGGGCTGTGTGCAGTCAGCATGCCCTCGTCTGGCACCTGTCTCCGTTAGTTAGTTTCTGTGCTGAACTGACATTTATTTATCTATTTATTTATTTAGTCAGGGTCTCACTCTGTTGCCCAGGCTGGAATGCCGTGGCACAATCACGGTTCACTGCAGTCTCAGTCAACCTCCTGGGTTCAGGTGATTCTTCCACCTCAGCCTCCCAAGTAGCTGTGACTACAGGCATGTGCCACCATGCCAGGCTACATGTTTGATTTTATTTTTGTAGTGCTGAGTTCTCACTAAATTGCCTAGGGTAGTCTCAAACATCCTGAACTCAAGCAATCCTCCCACCTCAGCCGCCCAAAGTGCTGGGATTACAGGCCTGAGCCACTGCACCCAGTCTGAACTGGTTTTTATGTATTTTGAATATCATCTTTGCGTGTGGGCATGGAGATATTCAAATCCACAGACACACAGAAACACCAGCAGCATACTTGCATGCACAATTTCATCTTTAGACATGGGTAAATGTGTAGTTATTTTCCTTAAGTTTAAAAGTAGAAGTTATTTGAGCTTGGAAAACATGAACTGTTCTTGGGTATGACAACCTATCAGGAAAGCGGCCATCTGCTCTAAATTTTTCTCTTGGCCTTTATGTTTTCATCCCTTTGTTAGGTATCACAGTGAACACTAGAAGAGATCAAAGGAGACAGAGGCATACCTAAAATATAGATAGATATATATACACATAGATACACATATATATCCAAATGCAGAAATACTATGCAGAGTTATCAATTTCCAGATGACAAAAGTGATTTGAGAAAGGTTCAATTAAAACACTATGGCATCTGTTGGCAAAAT